ATATATATATATACGTATATTGTCTCTACTGTGCTATAAAAACTGAAATTCCAGATGCTTTCTCAGTGGTCATGAAGTTTAATAATATGATTGGCATCATTTTCAAGCATTTCATTTTATTTTTCATAGACATTGTACTAAGCACAGCCAAGGCCGAATTGTGAACATTGCTGCGTTAATTGGATCTTTTGTAACTTTGTTTATTTATGTTCAATCAGATTTTCTGCAACTGTCACACTCTGGACAATATAACTGCATATTATACATTGGTATCTGGCATTCAGTGTTGACAAGATAAAGCAGTTGTAATTATTCTCAGCTATTTGCTGAAACAATTTACTTATTCTGACAAAAGGTGTGCTGTATATAAGGTTACAAAACTATATACGCATTACTGATCTACTTTGAATGTATTTTCTATTAAACTGTTTAATGTCTTTAAAATGTTGTAATATACTTTAATAAATATAGCAGTTTCAAAGAAGTGCAGATTTTTTGATGTTTTGCAAGCCAACATTGTCAAAAATGTGTTCAGAAAACACTTAGAATTTGATCAATATGTGTAAAACTCACAAACTTGAAGCCATTGTTTAATGTTTGCTAAAATAATTGTGCTGAGACTGCCATCTTGAATTGAGTCAAATCCACAAATTAGTTAGTTGTGGATACGTCCATTGATAACTAACCTACCTTCTTCCAATGTTTGCCACCAGGTGTGTGTGAATGTGTGTGTGAATGGGTGAATGTCTGAAGTGTAAAGCACTTTGGAGTCTGTGTGGACTTGGTAAGGCGCTATATAATATTAAGCCAATTACCATTTTTGATGGTTTTATTAAAATGTATTCAGTGTTTCATAAGCTATTTTGTGAACAAACACTGACTATTACATGGTTGCAATTCATGGCAATGAGCAACAAAACTTCAGTGAATGTTAATTAGCTGATTATAAATTATATTGCTCCACCTGAAATGTTACCAGGTGTAAAGTAAATGTGTTCCCACAGATTTCTATTATAAAACAAGCAAAAAAAATACATTTTCATTCACTCTGACTTACCGGCAGAGGTTTGGCAACACCGATGTGAACAGGACCGTAGTCTGTGGACTTAAGAACATGCACGGCATAATCCAGACTGGCGCCTTCTAGGTCAGTTTCATTAACAAACACAAGTCGGTCACCAGGTAGCAGGCGGCCATCTTGATCTGCCACACCTCCAGGCACCAAGGATCGAATTATCAGGACAGTTTTTGAGGCATCTTCTGGATCCTTAAAAAACACACACAATAGCATTTTACTGACATGTAACTAAATAGCTTGATAATGTACTGTAAAAAGTAAGCTAGAAAAACTGCATTTATCCACAGTGCCACTCACTTTAATATACAGATTAAAAGTCAATAGTGCTCATCTGCTAAATGAGCTGAATAGTTTGAATAGTTTCATTATAAATAATGGACAAAAAAGAATGAAAGAGGAAAGCAATTGTTTGAATGCTTAATCAGCATTAACACAAAAGAGAGAAATACAGTGAAATTGTTAAAAAAAAGATTAATAGTCTCAAGGAAAGCAATTTTATCAATTGGTTTCTCTATGAAGCAGCTAGCAACAATTTACAACTGTTCCTGCAAAATACAGAAAGTGTGTATCCTAAGTTTTGGTCCTTATTTAAACTAAACCATAAGCTGCTTTTCCAGTTGGTTTGTTTGTAGTTTCTGACCTGGTAGTCCAGGATACTGAAGCCCAGTCCCGACTCGCCTTTTTCCAGCTCGACTACTTGAGCCTCCTTCTCCCACATGGCCAGAGGAGGTGACATGGGGGGCACACCTCGCTTGGTAATGTCCTCAGCTGTAGGACAGGGAATGACACAACCCTGGTCCAGCTGGGATAAGCAGACAGGCAGGAGAGGGAACAATGACAAAGCAGCATGTTAGTGGCATTTACAACATGACTGAATTTCAAGGGATTTATAGGTGAAGACAAGGAATGTAAAGTAGGTTATACCTTTTTTAATGGAAATCAATTCAACATTAATGTTTCATCTGTTTGAGCCGCACCTTGTCATTGAACTCAGCCAGCAGATCTTTAAGACTGAGACAGACGTCGTCATCATCTTCCACATCACTCTCACGAACTGAAGGGGGTACAATGCGAGAGCATACCAGGTATACACACAACGGCAGCTCCTTCAGAATACTGACCACCTCTTTATGGGTCTCTCCAATGAGAGGAATCCCGTTCACCTGCCAAGATACATGATATACACTGCATATGTTCTTCTAGAACACATATCTGACACTTTCTCTGTATTTTGTTTTGCATGTATACATACTGTATTTGAATAAAACTAGCAGTCCTTGAATGGATTAACATCTACTGCCTTGCAAAGAAAAAACTACACTGAACATAGCATGCAAATAAACCAAAAAACTACAAAAATGAAATGAAAAAAAATGTTTTGTGATTTTTTTAATTATAGTAATCCTCAAAACATTCAAAAATATGCATACTAATTAATACTCAGTAAAAAAAAATAAAAATAAAAAAAACTAGAAGCAGTTACACTGCAAACACTGTCCATCTTACCAAGTTTAAAAATCTTATATCCAGCCCAAAAGTCTTTTTGATTTTGTTTTGAGACTGATTTACTAAACAAGAACTGATTGTGTAAGAATAATAATCTTGTTTTCAGAATGTGTAAGATTATTTGTCTTGTTAGCC